AATGAGTTATTTTTATAACATTATTTCTAATAAATGACTATTAAATGATAATCATTTATAATAACTGACAGAGTGATTTATTTGTAAGAAAAACACCTGTCTGTTTAAACTGGGGCTTTAAACAAAATTATATGAACTGCAAAAGAAACGTCAGGTTTAGATGGTGTGTGCTAATAAGATATTACATTTTAATTTACTTTTGCAAATCAGTATAGATATTATTAAAACAATTCTTTATTGAGAATCACAAGTTATTTTATACATGGTTATATTAACAATCTATTATCGATCTTTCTTTCATAATTTGAAGAGAATGTTTTGCTCCTCTTAGAAGAAAATACTTTTGTTAGAACAATTCCAGAGGCTGGAAGTCTAAGATCAGAGCACCCGCAGGAGCTGGTTCTTGGTGAGAGCCCTTTCTGGTTTACTTGCTATGTCCTTATGTGGCTGAAAGAGGAAGCTATCTCTGGCTTTTCATATAAGAGCACTAAACCCATTCATGAGGGCGCCTATGATTTAATTACTTCTCAAAGTTCCCATCTTCAAATACCATCACATTGAAATTAGGGTTTCAACACATGAATTTTGGAGGGACATAACCATCCAATCCATGGTGGTAGTTGAGTCACTCAGTCGTGTCTGATCCAGTCCATAATGTTTACTAATTTTGTTAGAACAAGACACTTAATTGCCATCAGCCAGAGGAGTTATGTTTGTATAATAGTTTACAAATAGCCTATCTCTGGACCTAACTCAGAATTTTGATCGAAGTAGAAAAATATGTCACAAGAGCAAAAATGCTGCAATGAAAACGGTTCCCCTTAAAGGTGGTAACTTGTGTAGTGCATGACCTGAACAACTGTATGAGGCCACCATTAGTTTAAATTTTGTAGTTTAGTTTAAAACTTATAAATTTATAAAATGCCCTTACATAAATGAGGCATTTTATTAGATGTCAAAAATAGAAGCATGGAATAAATGTAGTTTTAGTCATCAAGGTACTCACTATAATTTCTGTGATTTTTCAAAAATCCTTTCCTAAGAAAAACATAGTTTTCACTCATTAACTTATTTACTCAACAAATAACTCTTGTGCCTTTTAGGTGTACTGATATTGCTCTAATACTGGAGCATTTAAAAAGTCTTTTTCTTACCTTAATATACATTTAAAATTGTTTTCTGTATTTTCACATGCTTCTACTTTGGGAGTAATGTCTATATCGTCTTACTTTAACCTGTATGTTAAATTTTCAAGGCTGTTAAGTCATGCTACAACATTCTATAATAAAACATCAATGGATAGCTTTTAAAATGGTTTGAAAAACAAACTAACAAAAAATCCAATTAAATGGAAAAGGTTTTCTTTGCCCTTTGGCATAGGGCTCCTCATAAAACAAATCGACCTTCCTGTATGTTAAAATAATTTAAATTTATTATATATTATTTATTTAACTTGAAATCCTCATAATTTATATACTGATTATAGAGATATGATAGCCAGTGGGACTCTGAAAAACTAAGGTGATAAGACCCATGTTTATAACTTTTCCACATTGGTCTTTGAGTACCTAGAATAGTTGTGTACTGTTATAGTTGGCAAATCATACCAAGTGTTTTAAATGCAGTCGTTTCATTTTTCACAATCCTGAAAAAAATAGGTATTATCACTGTCTTCAAGGTAAGGGCTCTGAGGTATAAGTGGGGATTCATCTGGCATATGACAAGTGTGAGGTCTTTTAATTCCACCACAATTTCATGATTTAGCTTTTTAGTAAGTATTCTTTTTTGCCCCATTTCAGATCTACTGAACCACAATCAGTGAGAGTAGGGTCCAAGAGTACTTAAAGCATCTCAGGTAACCAAATGAAAATGGTCCACACACAGCCGTGGGAACTGCCTTAGTTCTATTTCTCCAGGAAATATTTCTATTTCCTCCAGGCTTCTGAGAGATACTAGACAGCAGAGATTTTGAGATTATACTTGCTGCTGAGAGGCTATATAAGGAGTACAAAAAACCTGCTTCAATTAAAAGCCTATTACAAGTAGGACCTCACACACTTAACCCTGTTGAGTCTGTTTCTCCACATGTAAAGTGATCCATCATGTAAGCACTTAGTACCACGCCTAGTCCATGCTATGCACTCAGTAAATGCTCCCTACTAATTTCCAAAAGCCCAGAATACACTATATTGCCAGTTAAGGATTGCTTACCTGTGACTACAAGTACATTCACATTATAAAGGGACAGTATACTCTCATCTACATGGTAAACCTTCCGTGTTACACATCTGAGAAAAATGTTGACATGGACAGCCTACATTTGTGTAACGACTACTTAGAAGTTGTTTTTGTCTTACTTCGACTTCACATTAGATTAAAAATCCAGAATTTTATAAAGGTGCTAAACATGTTTAAGTAAAGCAAGTAATAAAAGATTACCTTTATGCTTTAAACTGTTGGTATCTTTTCAGTTAAAAAACAAGTTCTTTTTGCAGTTAATTGCCCTTTACAGAAAACTTCAGTGAAAATATCTTGCCTAGAATTTCCTTCATTACTAAGCTCAGCTTAGGCAGTCTAAGTCACAAAGCACAGAGATAATTGCAGGTTAAATTGATTTGAGGCTTTTTATAAAGAAATTATAGTCTTACTTAAGAATATAAGACTTGACACTGCACATTAATCAAGTTGGCACTCATAATTGTGGCTCCCTTACAATGCTCATGCAAAATGAAATCCAACTTGAATTTGTTGAGCATAAAAGGCCCACCACGTGCACGCAGGAATGAAGAATTACATGTACCCTTTTGTGTTTTCATTCACTTCCCCTACCATTAATAAAGACATTCAATTTATATTTTGGGAATGATTATTCTGGCATCAATTAGGAAAATACATCTTTATGAGGCATTGTAGATTTCAAAAGGTTGTTGCTGTTCAGTCACTGTGTCTGACTCTTTGTGACCCCATAGACTGCAGCACACCAGACTCCATCCTTCACTATCTCCCGGAGTTTGCTCAAACTCATGTTCATTGAGTCGGTGATGCTATCTAATCATCTCATTCCCTGCTGCCCCCAGGACACATCATATAGAGGAAAATTGTTACTATGAGAGGGATTATGGTATGTGTGTTATTTGTGTTAGGTCAAGTATGTGGAGAAAGCCTCTGATTCTGGACATCATTTATACTTAGAATACATTTTACTTAGCAACTGAATGAGCTTTATTGCTTCCCTGACTTTTGGAATTAGTTGACCAATTTAAAATACATTATTTAAACAGAACATCTGGTTTACAATCCCTAATTAAAGTGGCCTATTTGCTTTACCCACTTTGCATTGTTTTCATTTTATAACTAAATTGATTATAAAACCTTATACTACAAGAGTCAAATATCTATGGATAGCCAATACTAGCTAACCTTCCTCTAATCCTCCCAGAGAGAGCCCTGAACATCAGAACATCAACCAAGTTATTCTGGGTATTGGTGCTTCATGACCAAGGGAGAAAACTACCTAACAGTTCTCTCCCTACAGGTCTTGGTTTTGTGAAAATGTGGATATTTTCTTCTGGAAAATGTTTTATTTGTGAACCGAAAGAACTACCACGGCTAATAAGTAGGGATTTCAATATTACAAAAAAAATACAATAAAATCCACCTCTGAACTCTGAAAGGATCCATTCCAGAAATCCTTTCCAGAATTTATACAAATCAGTCATCATCTCTTCTTATTGAGCTTGTATTTTTCATTTTGAGCTAAAGGTCAACAACTGTGGTGTACAGGTCAAATCCAGCTTGCCACCTGTTACAGTAAATAAAGTTCTATTGGAACATTGGAACACAGCTACAACTATTATCTATTATGTATTATCTTTGGCTATTTTCATGCTGTAACAACAGACTTAAGTAACTGTGACAGAGACCATATGGCCCTCAAAGTTTAAAATATTACCTGCATCTTAACAAAAAAGGCTTGCCAACTTCTACTTTAAATATTTTCATTAAAAAGAAACTACTGAAATTTTGAATTACAAGAAAGTAAACATTTTTCTATTCTTACCACAAAGTTACACACTTTGGCCTACATGACTTGAGAATTTTTGTGGACTAACTTGGGTATCTAAACACTGCTTACAGCACTGTTTCTAGAGATCCTTTAAAAAGTATACACAACCAGTTGAGCAAAGGAGGGACCATTTATCTATTTAATTGATTCACTCCAAGAATCAACCAAAGAATAGGCCTGACAAGCTTGGAGAAAACATGTTTACTTCTTTTTTAACTAGGTTTATGGAACTAGGGAGTCATGAAAAGCTGTTGACAATAATAGCAAGTACTGCCTCAAAATACATTTACTCACATTTATAAATAACAAAAAAACTTCTTTAATACTAGAAATTCCCCAATTCTTAAAAGGTAAGATGGTTTTTAAGACTATATGGAATAAATTTTTGTCAAGTAATATACACAACTGTGTTAGCATTTTTCCTTTTCTCAACCAAACACACTTTTACCCACATTTCTAAAGTGCTACAGAGCAACCAGCAGGGCAGTGTGATAAATGGGGATGGTTCAGATAGCTGCACAAGACAAGATTTACCTTTCCATGATTTAAAAAATCAGGGAAAAAAACATGTGTATCCTGCACTATTTGTACGTTTCATTTATATAGTACATGAATTTCTTTTTTCAACTAATTTTCCATAAATATTAAAATAGTAGAATATCTTTTTCTAAAAGTTCTAAAAATAATCATTAGATTTATTTACTATTAATATTTAATAGAAAAATAAAACCAAGTTACCAAGTGTATTATTTGGGCCAAAAAAAAGTTTTTTTCAAGAAAATGTAGAAACATTTTAATTTACATATCATATTACAATGAATCAACATGGAGTCAAAAATCCACATTACACATTCCTAAAAATTCTGACCATCAATCTCAGAATAATCAGTTTCTGTACAAAGATTTACAGCTGTCCGATAAATGTAGTTTTTCCTCAGTGTGCTACAGAGTTCAAAGGTTCTGCTCGAATATTCCCCAAATCAAGTGCAGAATCTGTCTCTTCATCAATTTCTCCAATGACTGCACTGTTAAGGAAAAAAAAAAAATCAGAACAATCTCATTTCTGACTAAAACTGAGATGAGATAGTAAAAAGAACTACTAGTTAAGTGAAAAACATTTTCATAAGATAGTGAATTGTACATTTAAGTCACAAAACTCAAATTGAAGGCAACATTGTTACAGGAACAAATATTAAAGGGCAAACTACATATAATGTGAGTGGTTTTTAAAGGAAAGAGTTTTTAAAAGAAAGTCACAAGTCTTTAAGGGAAAAAAAAAAAAAACATATGGGATAGATAATGGTATAAAACCCCAGAATTTCAATTCTGATTTTCACTGAATCCAGGGACTACTGGAGAAGGGGATGACAGAGGATGAGATAGCTAGATGGCATCACCGACTCGATGGACATGAGTTTGAGCAAGCTCCAGGAGTTGGTGATGAACAGGGAAGTCTGGTGTGCTGCAGTTCATGGTGTCGCAAAGAGTCAGACACGACTGAGTGACTGAACTGAACTGAAGGACTATTCTGGGACTGGGCGAGGTGGGGTGGGGTTGGGGGAGGAATCACAAAATCACTACTAAACAAGCAAATTAAAGTATCTATTATTTGAGTAACTTCAATGAACTAAATCCATCAATGTAATATCTATTAGTTTCCCTTTCATGGTTTCTCAATTTACTCAGTATAAATCGAACAACAAAAAGAAGTGCAATTCTTCCACACAAAGATAACAGAACAGATATTAAGGTATCTAACAAATGATTTTTGATGTGAATGACTTGTGACTGACTATGGTTAAAAGTCAGCAAATTTTTTCCTTGATTCAACAGTAACATAATATGTATAACATTAATTTCATTAATGCCATGCTAGGTAACCAGTATCTCTAGCTGGATACAGGTATTGTTACATTCAGACCAGGGGACACGTTTGAAACATTATCCCATAAAAGATTGGTTGTTCAAATTTGTCTGGCTTTAATGAAAGTAAATTCTACAGATAAATATGTTACACAGAATTTGCCTGATTTTGCTTTAAACTATATAAAGTCTTCAGTTCTCTAATAAATGAGAAATACCGAACTGTAAAAGAATATGTTCCGTTTTCTCAACATGAAACAAATCAAGACCTTAGTTCCATCTTTAAAAATCTAGTGTCATTTAAAATCCTTATGGATAAGAGTAGAGTGCTGAAAAATGTTTTAAAACCAGTTCTCCAAGGAAAAGGGGAAGGCTGATTTGCAGTGTTGGCTAATATCCATAGTGCAAATACTCCTACTACAGCCAAACCAACAAGACATCAATTCAGCTTGCGAAATTTCCCAAAATATAAAAATCTGCTTTGGTGAGCAGTATAAGATGGCTCCAGCATATCACTGGGTCTACAGCAATGTTTTAAATTTTTTTAAAATGAAGTTCAAAAAAGAGAAAATTTTTAAAAATTAAACTAGGAGAAGTCATCTTAAACTCAGTTATTATACAGAGCCCCAATACAACAGTGTGTTCTGGTCAGGAGACCTGGGCTCTACCTGCCATTCTTTACAGCTCACTTCACCTAAATATTATCTCTATAGGATATTTTATAAACCTCTGGTTTTGACTAAAGATCAAATAATTTATCCATCTAAAGGTGATTTTCTTCCATATTCTACTTGTCCTACAAAGTAATCTGAGATGCTTAATGTATCTTTTGCTTCCTTCCAGCCACGTTTTAACTTTACACAGTGCTCACTAGTAAAGTGATTCAGCAATCTTCCAGTCTCTATAGCTGCACTAATGCAGTAGCATCTAGCCACATGTGACTATTGTACAATTAAGTAAAATCTAAAATTCAGTTCTTCGGTCACACCAGCTACTTTTCAAGTACCCAGTGGCCACACGCTTGGTTAGTACCTACTATAGTGGACAATGCCAGATATACAACAGATATGTAACATTCCATCATCCCCTAAAATTGTATTGGACAGTATTGCTCTACACTGTTGCACTTTTCTTATACTGTTACCACTAAAATATATCTTCTCAAACTGTCATATCAGTGTCACAAGTTAACTGAGGCCACAACATAAACATGGGACAGCTTAAGTGTGCCAGTTATACTAAAAATTAAAAGAAAAAATGGAAAATTCATCTATGTTATAAAGCATTATTTAAAACTGTTCACACAAGAGATTTCAAAGACATTTTCAAGCTCTAGCCTGGAAGTGTATTTATGTTCCTCTGGAATTAGGTATATTTTGGAAGAACATTTTAAGAACCTCCTCCAGTGGAGTATCCAGTGTTAAGGCAGGGCTCTTTCTGGACCATATTCAGGCTATTTAACTATTAGAAATATGGACAGATCTCAGTACATGGAAACCTCTTCTCCATACAGCAAAGCAGTGCACCTATTGTATACTGCTGTGTGTTAGTCACTCAGTCATGTCCAGTTCTTTTTGACCCCATGGACTGTAGCCCACCAGGCTCCTCTGTCCATGGAATTCTCCAGGCAAGAATACTGGAGTGGGTGCCCATTTCCTTCTCCAGGGGATCTTCCTGACCCAGGGATTGAACCCAGGTCTCCTGCAGGTGGATGCCTTTACAGTCTGAGCTACTTGCCTTAAAAAAGGTATTTTACTTACACATTGTCACCTCTTACGATGTATAACCCTAGTACCACTTGTTCTACTCCCTGTGAAGAGCTGAACACTCGTTCATGGCTTTCATCCAGTATCAAATTAATGGTCTGGTCAAAACCTTTCAGTGTTCCCTGTAAAGAAAATATTCAAGAGAAAAAAGACAAATTATCTGAATGTGTAAATTCAACCACACCATTTTAGCTGCCAGGTATTCCAGTGGGAGGACCTATTTTAAATATACATACAAGTTCACTATAAAATATCTCTTTATGACCAACAGTACTCTTGGCAGAAAACTTACCTCTTCGTTTTTTAAGGGGGTGGTGGGCTCCAAGTTTCTGCTAGTGTGCAGAGCTGTTGAGAACTACAAAGGACCCCATATACTAGTTTACTTCCAAGGAAGTAGCATAAAACTTCAGGCTGTCCAGAAGCGAATATTCTAAAGATACAAACTAAAACAAGGAAAACTTAAGGGAAATACTCCTATATACAGCAGCTATAGTAATGTAACAGTATCATACATGTTACATGCCAGTAAACATGCTACACACATTATCTCAACCAATCCCTACCCTTTGTGGTGGTAGATATTATATGTATTCCCACTTCAGAGAAGAAAAATTGAGGCAAAGAGAAGTAATCTCTCACGGTTTCATGGGTGGAAATTAGCAGAGCTAGAATCCAAACCATGAAAAGCTAGCATCAAAGCCAGACCACTGAACTTCTACATTAAACTACTATGAACAAACAAATATAATTTACCACTGTTCAGAGATTCAAATCAATCCCATAAATATACACAAACTTCAACTGGTGGTAGTAACAGCTAAGGCTAGATGAATACTTAGTACTTGCCAAAGTGTTCTATGGGCTGCATATGGATTTACTTATTTAATCCCCCTAATAACTCAGTAACAGTAGACACAAATATGATCACAACAACTGGGAAAGTTCTAGAACTTGAAGGAAATATTCAGAGTTTTACAGAAGAATCATGGCTCCTAATAAAGGAAGACATGGGCATATCACAACACAATATCTCAGATGCTATTTCAGTTTCTGAAGAACATCAACTTATACTGATGGTTTTCGCTGGTTAAATCTCTTATTAAAGCTTCATGTTTTAAAACTCAAAATAAGTAAAATTAGACCAAGATAAAATGTTAACTTAAAATTTGGAAAAGAAGCAAAATGTGGAGCATTTACTATATTAAACTAGTTAGCAAATAGTTGTTACCACACTCATACATAGCCTCTTGGCTTCATCTTACAAGTAACTATTTTATCAAGTTTCAATGGACAGAGGAATCTGCTGGACTACAGTCCAAGGGGTTGCAAAGAACTGGACACAACTGGGTAGACACACACATTCTATCAAGTGGGCTCTCGTGGGGGCTCAGCGTCAAAGAATTTGCCTGCCAACGCAGTATATGTGGGTTCAATTCCTGGGTTGGGAAGATCCTCTAGAGAAGGAAATGGCAACCCACTCCAGTGTTCTTGCCTGGGAAATCCCATGTACAGAGGAGCCTGGTGGGCTCCAGTCCACTGGGCCACAAAGAGTCGGACATATCTTAGCAACTCAACAAATTCTATCAAGTGAACTATGTGTCAAAGGAACACAGAACTGCTGAACTTTAGTTCTCAAAATGTTCTTTTTAAATGGCTTTCCTTCTATAAAGTTAAAACAAGTTTCCAATTTATCATCTATCCTGTTAAAAAAAAAATTAAACTCAAGGTTTCCACAAACTAAAAAACTATTTGCAAATATTTGTTAATAGCAATAGGCTTCTCAAAGTTAAGATGAGATTAAAATATTTCAAACTCTCTTAATTTGACAAAATACAATGTGAGGTACCTTAAAAAAATAAACAAAACCATGAATGCTCTCTTGATTAAGAAGGAAGCAACACCACTGGCCTTAGGCTTTGGAGTCAAACCCAGTTTAAATCCCAGTTTGGTTCTGCCACATACATTCATATGACTCTGGGAAAGTGAATCTTTCTGATCCAGGTTCTTAGCTTAGAATGCAGGGCTAGTTCTTCTTCACAGAGCTGTACTAGGTTTAAGTGATATAACACACGTGACATGCCTGGTACATGACATGTTTAATAAATGGCAAAGTCTGACACTTGGTAATTGCCACTTAAGGACCCACTGAGAAAAATCCTAAATATTAAAAAGAAAACAAAAACAGAATTGCAGGGTGGGAAGATAGAAGAACAAATTCTATGAATTATATAAGACAATAAAGTTAGCAGCCTTAAAACTTTTTTGAAAGTTAACAATCATGAATTATAAATGAAATTAAGCAGCCAAAAATCATGGAATAAATTCCTCAAATCAAGGAGAGAATCCAAGACTTTTCTGGAATTAAAATGGGATACAGTGTAAAAGGAAAAATGAGATGAAATAAACTTAGATATTCATCATAATTTATTCTACAGAAGCATGAGATAATACAACCTAAGAATATCTGAAGATTAACACCATACATGTCTTAAATGTTCACTATATAGAGGTAGTATCTAAATCTTTAAAAAAAAGTTTCCAAGAAGCACACACAATTAAAAAAAAAAAAGTATGATTCATGTAGTAGATGTCAGAGCACTGAATGGGGAAGGAAATAAAAGATGAAGGAAGTTAAATACAAAATATAGACAGATATCTGCAGACTAGACCAGAAGTTCTCTGAGAGCAGATTCTGTTATTCATCCAAGCTTCTAGAAGCCTTGTGTGTTAACTCAGTCAATGTTTATCAATGAAAAAACAACAACAACAACAACAAAACGGATTGGCAGCTATTTATCAGAGAGATAAAGAGTTGAATCATAAGAAAACTGCAATGCAGGTGTACTCTGGTGCCTAGGCACTGGAGATCAGAGGTTGTACATAAAAATTTACAACCAATAAGCCTACAAGAGTGGGCTTCCCAGATGGCACTGCAGTAAAGAATCCACCTGCCAATGCAAGAGATGCAGGAGATCCAGGTTTGATCTCTGAGTTGGGACAATGCTCTGGAGTAGGAAATGGCAACCCATTCCAGTATTCTTGCCTGGAAAAGTTCATGGACAGCGGAGCCTGGCGGGCTACACTTCATGAGGTCACAACGAGTCTGGGACAACTGAGCACCGCGGGCAGAAAAGGCTAAAAGAAAGCAGAGAATGAATATGCCCAATACTTACCACAATCATTCTCCCGTCAGAAGTAATGACAGCAACAGTTCCTGATAAGTGAATCAAGGAAAGCATTTCTAAGGGAATGCAAACTGAAAACTTAAAATCTGGTAAGGAAATGGTTTAAATTACTAGGAAAAAATGTGACAGAATTAAGATACAACTATTTAACACAGCCACATTTACAACATAAAACTGTATGTTCTTCAATTCTCTGTGACAACTACACAACTTAAAAAAAGGAAAAAGAGAAAAAGAACATCCTTTTTATGAGATCAGTGTATTCTATCTTAAAACAGCTGGGATGTTTGGTACTCATTTTTAATGGGGGAATATTGCAAATATAAAAACTGAGCAAGATATTTTTCCTTTTCTTAAACCTGTTTCTTCATTTCTGAAATGAAAATTGGATCAGTGCTAAACTATTCAATGTCAAATGATTTAATGTACATTAAGACACTGTCTTCAAGGACCTGCCTTCTGGGACTCAAAAGAAACTATAATCAATGTCACAAGTACCAATATGCTTGCATCATGTAAAAAGAAAAACCTTTAGCATTCCACTTCTGTCCCAAATTTGTACATAAGAGCACAAAGTAATGTTTCTGTCTCGAGATTTTAAAATGGTGCATAGAGTACTATTACAGGGACTTTTTTAAAGTTATTTGCCCCACAAGGCGATCTATTACAACAGCAAGCATTATTTTAATCCCATCAATAAAGTTGAGATTTCAACTGGTAAAGGGGCAGATGATTCAATTTTTGCATCATCTGTAAAGTTTTTGCTATCCTCGAAGACTGAGCAAAAGCCTATGAATAAAACAAACACAGAGATTTACGAATCCACCGTCACAGCTGGTAAAACTGTTTATCTTATGCCCAAACGTGAACGTATAGGCCCGAGGGAAATGGAAAGGGTGAATCAATAACTGATTTCTATAGAGACACGGAAAAGTTCGGAATAATCATGTCGGTTTTGCTCGGTTTTTTCCTCAAGTTAAAAGACGCCTTGGGCCCGCTTCCAGTCCCAGGGGCGAGCCGGGTGGGTCCCAGATCCCTAACCCCTGTATCCCCACCCCGGGCCCCAAGCCCGTCAGTGGCCCAGTGCCCCAACTGCCCGCCGATCCCGACCACTGGCCTTTCCAGCACTGGTCCGCTCTGGTGCAGACGTGGGCCTCACCAAGGCCTTGGCTAATGCCCGCCGCCCGCGGCAGCCGGCTGAAGGATACGGTTGATGTAATTCTCTAAGGCGGACGTCATGATACGCGACCTGGCAACTGGAAACACAACAGCCCAGGCGACCAAATGAGCTAAAAAGGACCTCCAGGAAACTGCAGCCTCTCCCGCCGACTGGCGGCAGCAAATACCGCGAGAACTACCGCAGGGCGGCCTCCACGAATCAGAGACTGAAACAAACCGGCCAAGCATTCCCGAGATGCAAAGCGACGACGAACTTAATGCGCGTGCGCAGTATGTTTCTGCAGTGTTTCTAGCCGGTGGTATTGGAAGCAGGGAAGAACTAAAGAGAGCGGGCGGTGGAAGAAAGAAAGAAGCTCCCTGAAGATGGGGAGAAGGTGGACGAGCGCGCTTCATAGCGGAATGGAAGGCTTTAGTGACAGAAATTACTAAGGGGAAATGTTGAAAGAAGATGGAGACGGCAGGAGAAAACCGGATAAGGTGTTTTTGTCACAAGTGAACTAGAGAGATGAGTGCTGTTCTGGTATGAAGTGTAGACGCCAGAATGTGGAATCCCTAATTTTGTGCTACAGAGGCCGGAAATTAACCTTTTAGAAGCTAAACGACCCCGGACAAAGTTCCACAAGTTGTAACCGTATGGTATACATATTTGGAGAAGTCAGTAGTTAAAAGCATATTCGCAGTTTGCATTTGCTTCTAAAAGTGCTGCATCGTGTTCACCTGAAACTGTCAAACATTGTTAATCATTGTTAATGGGCTATACCCCAATGCAAATGGTTTTGTTGTTTCAAAAAAAAAATGTTAAATGCTGCATCGCGGCGGCGTTGTCATTCATTTATTTTGTCGCTTGGTCGTGTCCGAGTCTTTGCGACCCCATTGACTGTAGCCTACCACGCTCCTCCGTCCATGGGATTTTCCAGGCAAGAGTTCTGGAATGGGTTGCCATTTCTTTCTCCAGAGGATCTTCCGGACCCAGGGATCGAAACCGGGTTTCCCGCATTGTAGGCAGACACTTTACAATCTGAGCTACCAGGGATAGAATCCAAGTGGTAGAGTGTGAGCCTCCTTTAGGAAACAGTCTTTCTTTTATCACACCACAAAGTCTCCCTCCCCTCAGGTTATAAAATCAGTTACTTTTAAAAGGCTGGCAGGTCCGCTGCTTATTCCAGGAAAGGACTGATTCTGGAAGAGCTTGCTAAATAAGCAGCAGACTGGGTTCTAGTCCTGCTATGCTAATGAAATTGTGTATCCTTGCACAAGTGACATCAGCTCATCTGGGCCTCAGTTTCCTTAGCTTCTACCCCATTTATCATTTTGGATATTTATGTGTGTTACTACAAAACGTATTTATTTTACTGTGGTACTCTAGATTCAAAGGACTTGAAGTTAGAAAAAAAAATCCATGTACAAAATACCACAGTTATTTTTCCTTTGTACAAAATTGCCTTATGATGTCAGTTAGGGGTAATGTTTCTTTTTTTCCCTCCTGCCCATCTCCCTCACCATCCCACCCCTCTAGGTTGCTACAGAGCCCACGCTTGAGTTTCTGAGACATACAGCAAATTGCTGTTGGCTATCTATTTTACATATGGTATTGTAAGTTTACATGTTACTCTCTTCATACATTTCACCCTCTCCTCCACTCTCCCCATGTCCATAAATCTATTCTCTATGTCTGTTTTTCCATTGCTGTCCTTCAAATAAATTCTTCAGTACCTTGTTTCTAGATTCTGTATATATGCATTAATATATAATATGTATCTTTTTCTGACTTACTTCACTCTGTGTAGGCTCTAGGTTCATCCACCTCATTAGAACTGACTCAAATGTGTTCCTTTTTATGGCTGAGTAAAATTCCATAGTGTATATGTACCACAACTTTATCCATTCATCTGTCCATGAACATCTAGGTTGCTTCCATGTTCTAGCTATTGTAAATAGTACTGCAGTGAACAATGGGATACATGTGTCTTTTTCAATTTTGGTTTCTTCGGGGTATATGCCTAGGAGTGGGATTGCTGGGTCATATGGTAGTTTTATTCCTAGTTTTTTAAGGAATCTCCGTACTGTCTTCCATAGTGGCTGTATCAATTTACATTCCCACCAATAGTGCAAGAGTGTTCCCTTTTCTCCACACCCTCTCTAGTACTTACTGTTTGTAGACTTTTTGATGATGGCCATTCTGACCAGTGTGAGATGATATCTCATTGTAGTTTTGATTTGCATTTCTCTAATAATGAGTAGTGTTGGGCATCTTTTCATGTGTTTGTTGGCCATCTGTATGTCTTCTTTGGAGAAATGTCTGTTTAGGTCTTTTCCCCACTTTCTGATTGGGTTGATTGTTTTTCTGGTAATGAGTTGTCTGAGCTGCTTGTATATTTTGGAAATTAATCCTTTGTCATTTGTTTCATATGCTATTATTTTCTCCCATTCTGAGTGTTGTCTTTTCACCTTGCTTCTAGTTTCCTTTGCTGTGCAAAAGCTTTTAAGTTTAATCAGGTCCCACTTGTTACTTTTGTTTTTATTTCCATTACTCTAGGAGGTTGGTCATAGAGGATCTTGCTTTGATTTATGTCATGGAGTGTTCTGCCTATGTTTTCCTCTAAGAGGTTTATAGTTTCTGGTCTTACATTTAGGTCTTTAATCCATTTTGAGTTTATCTTTGTGTATGGTGTTAAGAAGTGTAATTTCATTCTATTACATGTAGTTGTCCAGTTTTCCCAACACCACTTATTGAAGAGGCTGCTTTGCCCCATTATATATTCTTGCCTCCTTTGTCAAAAATAAGGTACCCATAGGTGCACGGGTTTGTTTCTGGGCTTTCTGTCTTGTTCCACTGGTCTATATTTCTGTTTTTGTGCCAGTGCCATACTGTGTTGATTACTGTAGCTTTGTAGTATAATCTGAAGTCAGGAAGGTTGATTCCTACAGCTCCATTCTTTTTTATCAAGACGGTTTTGGCTATTGAGGGTCTTTTGTGTTTCCCTATGAATTGTGAAATTTTTTGTTCTGTGAAAAATGCCATTGGTAATTTGATAGGGATTGCATCGAATCTATAGATTGCATCTGATAGTATAGTGATGTTCACAGGTGTGCTGTTTCTTAACTGAAGAACTGAAGGTTTAAAAACCCTTGCAATGTCAGCAGTTTTCTTCTGAAATGCGTCTGTTTTCATTACAGCATACTCACAAAATTACCTACAGATCATTCCCAAATGTTTAGTATTTTATATACTGAAACTTACTTTGACCTGTTTGAAACCACATGTAGTCAGGAATTAGGTGATGCATGCCCCAGTTTTTTGTTGTTGTTGTTGTTGTTTGTTTGGGGGGATGGTGGTGGTGGTAAATGCAAGTGCAATATCTTCTGTAAATTAAAAGAAAAATGAAGCTATCATGTGATGTGCAGGTGTTAGATACTGAACTAAAAGAAAAAGTACTATCTAGTGATAAATGTGGTATCATTAGTAAGGAGTTTTTAAAAAGTATTGTGCTAAGTTTGAGAAAACTCCTGGAGATAGGGAAGGCCAGGGACGCCTGGCATGCTGCAGTCCATGGGGTCATACAGGACTCAGCGACTGAACAGCAGCAGCAAATTATACTAAGTATTTAAAATGGATAACCCATGTAGTGTTTCATCTCTTAGAGTATGTTCATATGTGAAAATGTTTATTAACATTGTATAGTAACTTACGGAACTAATTTCGTCATAAACTACATACCTAAACTACAAGTTCAGTCGCCAAGTTGTATCTGACTCCCTGTCCATGGGATTCTCCAGGCAAGGATACTGGAGTGCATTGCCACGCCCTTTCCCAGGGGATCTTCCTGACCCTAGGATCAAATCCATGTCTTTTACATCTCCTGTATTGGCAGGTGGTTTCTTTACCAAGGGGCACAATGAAATTTTGAACTTAAATACAATATCTCAAAGTGCTACTCATTTGAATGAAACTCTGTCACTGTTAAAACATCCAAGTATGCTGGAATGCTTTTTATTTTACTAAGAGTACTCATTTTAGTCCATTAGTTCTGAATTCAAACTTTGAGCAGAAAGCTTTTTCTTTTATATTTAGTTCAGTTAAGATTGGTTCAGTATTTTGTCTCTCCCAACCCATTCATGAATCTGTCTCTCACTAGTAATCCAACTAAATATATCTAGAACTGCAATCAAGATTTATCAAGAATAGGGCAGAAAAGAAATGGGAAAGGGTAGAAAGGAGTTCGCTAGATATCTGACTTTCCTGAAGTTACTTTCCATTAGTAGAAACCAAAGTATATAAAATCAATCGCTCTCTGGTTAATTCCCTTGAGAGGCAAGACAGAAGTCATTTCCCTTTGTATCCTGTTCTCTTTCATTAACCCAAAGAATCAGACTCATGGTAGATTCTGAGGAAACTGAATTTGAATAGTTCATAGGAAAAAAAAAGACAATAATAGAAAATTAAAATATTACTTTTAATCTAATGTAGCTTTTATTTGTATCAATTTGTATTCCTACAAGTTCCGAAAGTGTCAACCAATTAGCAATGCATATTAAATAGATCTTTCTAGAATTTTCCAAGGCAGAAATGGACATAAATAAACCCTGTTTCTCCTTACAAAGAAATTCCTGAATAGGTACAGAGCTTTAATTATAAGCATGAAATAATTAGTGTTTGGAAAAATAATAAATATCCCAAAATATAAAGAAAGATAATTGATGTGAAAACATTAGTTCATTTAATAGTGTAAATTACAAAGTGTTTTTCATATATTATGGGTTTTTTGCCTTTTAGCTATTAAAGCAGGCACTTTTTTGTGCCATTTTCTAAGATTTGGGAAGAATTAAATTTAACTGACTTGCTACTTGAGAAGCAGTATAGGGTTTTGATTAAGAACACTACCTCAGGAGCTAGCCTGTTTGGATTTGGATCCAGCGAGGCTCTGAGTGGATTACTTAACCTTCTTACCCCAGTTTTCTTATCTGTAACATGGAGAGAAGATGGTACATACTTTTATCAAACTGTTGGAGGACTGAAAGTAATTCTTGTAAAACCTGGGATGTAATAAGCACTCTATTAGTGCAGTTCTTATTGCTCATGGACGTAGATTATATCACAGATAACCTTTCACTCAGTCCCAGGGCTTGTGCTGCTAAAGCATTTTGCTCACTGTCTCTTTTTTTCTGATTGGACAA